AGAAACTATAGATAAGGCTTGAGTACTAATAAGGAAACTGTATGCATCTGAAAAGTATAGAAAGTTTAGCAAAGCTTAGGATTAGTATAGCTGATTATAAAGTAGATAGCCATTGTTAGATAGAAAAGTATAAATAGCTTATCAATGTATGCTGAAAAGGCAGAGCTGAAAGTGTTAGGAAAAACAGCCCTCATTGAGAATAAAGATAAGAGTTAGTGATATTTTAAAGAAACAGAATGCAATAAAGAGACACTTACCTTCGACCAAGTCAATCATTACACCTCTGCCTTCCCTAAGTGTTTTTTATAGGAGGCATTTGCTTCTTTGTGAGTATTTGTGAGATTTCTGGGTTATACGAAGTGTTAGGGATTAGTGATGGACTTGCCAGGTTAGTTCATGACAATATAATAATTTACTAATATCAAAAACTTTGATTTATAATATTTCTTAAATTTTGATTCTATTAAAGTAAAGAGCAATAAATTTTATTTCTTAAAAAAATATATAAATAATTTGTAAAATTTTATATATTAAATACTTTGTAAACCTATTATTAATATAGATATAATTATATTTATAAAAGCAATAGTCCTAAAGTAATACATTATATATTCATAAACTCAATATTAAAAAAAAAGAATCTATTAATACTTTTTTGAAAGAAAAATTCAGATATACAATAGTTTCAAATAGAATATTTTCATAAATTATTCTTTTTATTTATTAAAAACTTTTTAAATTAAACAAAAATTCAAAAACTATATAATAGAAAATCAAGTCTTAAATATAAATTCTATTTAAAAGAAAGATATGAAAGTTTAATTAACAATTTCTGTTAAAATTTTAAATAATATTAAAATTAAAATAGATAATAAACAACTAAAAAATAAAATTAAAATATACTGTAAAATATTTAGAAAAGAGTCAAGAAGAAAATATAGTTGAATAAATTTCTTATAAAAAATTTTTTTTTTTTTGAAATGACAACTCAACCTTGTTTTATTAAACTTTCAAGTCAGGATACAATGCAAATACAAGAAATAATCATTAATAAAACATTCCTAGAGTTGTCTATAAGTAATTAAGATTTTATGCTACTACTATCATTTTGATTCCATAAGTTGGTTACTCTTCGAGGGCTTTGTCAGTTGAGGGTGTATTGCCTATTCCTCGGCTGCTTTCAATATCTTCATGTTATAAAGTTTTAATCACTCCAATCCACTGGATGGCTTGTTGTCAGGGTAAATAACTTGGATTATTTTAATTCATACATTAGGAAAGAATATTCATCGATCCTCTTAAATTCCCCCTAATCATGTACTCAGATGAGACACATCATTCCAAAGAAAAATTTTAAAAGAGGTGGTTGTATTCGAAGGATATATCAGTATATGGTAAGAGGATGGAAGTATCAAAACCCTCTAAAAAGATACTGTTCCAGGTGTTATTATATTTGTTGAAAAGGAAGAGAAGGGAGAGGTCTTTGTTGGTTATCCAGTGAATCTTATTCCAACAGTTCTCTTTTTAAGATACCTCTAATTTAGGAGGTTTACTTGTCCTGTATCTACCCACATCCATAAATGTGACTTATGGTGAACCCCAGGTTCTTATGGAACTGAGAAATGCATTCAAACACGTGATGTGACCAATGGGATCTTGTTTACTTCTTTTACTAATGTGATTTCTATCTGTCCAATCATGGTATGAGAAACTTTGTGCTACTCAAAATTCAGGGTCAAACTAAGGTAGGCAAAATTCCCCAGAAAAAACCAAGAACAAGCACTATAAGAAGTAATCAGTTAATGAGAGAGTGAAAAAGTTGTCTCTTATTAGTAACAATCTTTTGTATTATTTCTCTACAGTTTGAGATGACTGTACATTAGTTTTTCTTCCTTTAAGAACTTTCTTGCCCTTGGTAGAAAAGGTGTTTCTTGGTTTATAGGTCACTAGTGATCAAGTTTTTGTTTGAAGATAAGTATTAATAAGAAGGGAGAGAAGTAATAGTGACTCTTGAAGTTTTTTTAAGTTAGTTTAAAGAAAGTGTTAAGAGTTTATTAACATAGAAATATGGAAACTTCTTATGAATATCTTTTTTATGTGTGGTCAGAGGATCAGTAAAACGAGTGATGATAAATTTTTTATAATATAAGAAATAAATTTAAGTTAATTAATATTAATATATTTTATATCACAATAAAATAAAAAACAAAGTAGAAATGGCAAGTGTATCTCATATATTATATCAAGAAATAAAACTCTTTTCACTGATCCTCTGACTGCATACAAAAAAGATGTTCACAAGAAGTTTTTATACTTCCTTACTAATAAAGTCTTAATATTTTCCTTAAAACAATTTGAAGTATGACTTCAAGAATTACTTTTACCCTTCCCCTATTGTTTACAAACCTCTTCACTCAAAAACTTAACTCCTAATGATTAAGAAAAGCTAAGCAACACCTTTGATACCAATGGCAAGAAAGTTTTCAAAGGAAGAAGAACTGACTGTAAAGTACCTGAAGGCTTATTTAACTTTTGAAGCGAGAAGTATATAGAGGTTTTTGATGATAGAAGGGCTTATTTTTCCTCTTCTAGTTATTTGTGGGACTCTTAGAGCTATTGCTTTCATGGTTTTCTAAAGAAATTTTGCCTACCTCAGTTTGACCCTGAATTTTTGATAGCACAAATCCTCACCAAAAATAATTGATTGACACAAAATACATCAGTTATTGAAATATAAAAAAGCTCCTATTGGTTACACTCATGTGTCTCAATATATCATTGGTGATATAGGAAAGAAAGTTCTAGAAAAATTGTCACTTCCAATCATATATATTCAACCTACAGGAAACAATTATGATACTGAAAAGTGAGTAACGGATATGAAAAGAAGATTCAACTTCCATTTCTCATTAAGTTCTTCAAGTAGTGAAAAAACTTTCTTAAATAAAAGCTGAGATCTTCAAGCTTCTATTCTGGTTAGGCAAAGTTCTTGAAAAGATTTCTTTATTCTAGTCAGGCAAACTCTTCCCTAATATGGTGCTGGTTTCACTAGTGATAAATGAATCCATACATTGGCAGAAGGATAAGTTTCTCAAATATTTTTCTTGAAATCACTTTCAGGAATAGCTAAGTTCCTCAAACTTCATGAAGCTTAGAGAATATCTCAATCAGGCACTAGACAACAGTATATATATACTGTTGTCTACTTACACTAGACTATTATCTACTTATGAGTATACTGTTATCTACTTATAAGTATATTGCTATCTACTTATTTTATAACTACATATTTTAATCACTAATAAGCTTGATATTTGCTTCCTTTTAATAATTTGATGACATGTAGATTGCATTTGTATTGCCATTCAAGAGCCACTAAAGCATGTACTGTGGTTTGACTTGCAGATTATATTTGGTGTGTTACTCAAATGACAACTGTGACTAATTTTTGTCATCAGGTCACATGTCAACTATTGTATGCTAGTTTGGTAACCATATCTGATTTTTGTCATTGGCTCACATGATAAAAAAATATATCTGATGATATATCCAATAATATACATCATTTGTGGGCCGATGTGAGGGCCATGTCCGAACCTGGCACGTATTGCCTTAGCTTTCTGGTTAATTTCGCAATAAGGGCCAGCTTTGAGGTACTTAGTGTCATATTGTTATCATATCTGGTAATATACAAAAGCATCTGATAATGTGATACATAGTGTCGAATTGTTAACAGTTGTTAGCTTTGCATAATTCATTCGAATATTCGATTAAGGATAAGGCACGTAGTATCGAATTGCTAATTATTATAATGCACTCAAATATCAATCACAGATAAGGTACGTAGTGCTGAATTGTTAGCAGTTATTTGATGATACATAAAAGCAAAAATTTATCTTATCTCTTTCTTTATAATATTCTGCTTTTGCATATCACTTTTTTTATATATCTGAATTCTGTTATCTGACCCTTTTTTTTAATGATACATAAAAGCACAATTTTTCTTACCACTTTCCTTATAATATTCTACCTTTATGTATCACCAAAATTGTCAAAAAATTGGATCGCACTACTATATATCATATGTGCATTATATTTTGATAACCTTTACATATCACTTTTTGATATCTAACTAATAATACGTTAAAGCTCAATTTTTTTGTAATCTTTGTATATTACCTTTACATATCACTTTTTTTGGCACTTCATGTCAGTTCCACCATATTTACCTAATAATACGTAAAGCTCAATTTTTGTAACCTTTGTATATCACTTTTTGATAACCTTTGCATATCACCTTTTTAGCACTTTATGCCGGCTCTGCTGATATCTAACTAATGATATATAAAAGCCCAATTTTTTCTTACTTTTGCGTATCACTTTTTCGATATTCATTTGATGATATATAAAGTATGAGTCTGATAGGGGCGGAGCCCCATTGCTTCACAATAAAAATTATGTGACACAAAAATGGTTATCGAGGAAGCTGAGCTTCGAGTCTCTGACTCATATGTACTATATATATAGATGCAAAGTATCTAAAACTTACCTGAAGTTTCAACAAACAAATTCTTGCTCAAAATTATACAATATAAAAATCCCTTTATATGGTGTAGGTATCAAAGTATTAATTTTTTATTTGAATTTTTTCTTATACTTATTGTAAAAGTTAACAAAAATCTCTTTACCCAGATATATAACTAGCTGGATGTAGCAATTTCTCTGCTCCGAAAATTACTACTCAACTAGATTGTATTATCTTAGTATCTTTATTGAAAATTTATAATGCCTATGCATATTCAATGATTGCTAAATATTTATTTTTCAGTTCTTTTTTGTATGGAGTAGTAGGTACACCCATCTTAGTTTCAAAATTTCGCTTATGTTCTAAGAAGTCAGCCTCACTCATACTTTCGTGCTCTTTTTTCTTTTTTTATTTCAAGTTTGAAAAGAAAGTTATACTTCAAGTTATAATTAACTAAAATATCTGGAATCGAGTGATGAAGTTACAAGAAGGTAAGATTACATTAGCTTATCCAATATTTTTTTATGCATAAATAATATCGAAGTTCAAATAGACAGCCTGTTATCGGATCCACGTATCCCATAGCCGATTACTTTTTTATTACAGAGTGGACCGTATGATCCTGTGGAACAATATCACTGGCGTGCCTAGGTGATAAATTGAAAATTCGATCAAAGAGCCTACCTATATTTCACGTGCGTCTCACAAACCACACAACGGCAATAATTAATAGAGCAAGTAATATACATGTTGATAGAGGTGACATCAAAGTACTTGCCACATCAGGTATTGCTCCTGTTTCCCCTATCGGAATTTGAGAGTTTAATTTGATCAAAGAGGGTCAAAATTTTCTGACTATGCAAGGCAAGGTAAGGAGCCATATTCGGTAATTCTTGGAGTATATTGTTGTCTGCAGAGCAGGACACTTCGTGTCTGGTTTTGCTAATATCGATTTCATCACTTGCCTTAGTAATAATCTCGGTATCTACTTTTGGAGATGAGGTATAGCCTTGAATTACTAATTCCTCAGGTATAGAAGCACTTTTATCATCAGTGTGATCTAGTATATCTGTATCAATTTTTTCAACTTGATCCATACCTTTTTTACGTATAAAATATTGACTGAGATCTTTACTAGGTATATCAGATGCAATAGTATCATCACTTCGTGAGATGAATTCGGTATTTTTTTTTTATTTGCCTCACCACCGATCTTGATTGATTCTGATGATAACTTGGATTCTAAGGAGTGTATCTCTGAAGTTTTCAAGATCAGATCATCTTTCATTTGTTTCAATTCATCATCTTTCAAAGCCAATAAATTCTTCATATGCATCAATTCACTATTTTTCGAAACTAGAATAGAATTTAAGGCAGATAATTTGGTTCTAAGGGTATCAGGCTCAGATTCTTTCATAGACAAGTCCTCCTGAGCTAAAGATAATTTCGTCTTCGATGCCTCCATCTTAGATAAGAAATCTTTTATTTCTTTGGATTTTGTATGAATCTTGTTCTTGAATTTACAAAGTGAAAAATCTTTACCAGTGATAAGGGATTTGAGAGTATCTATCTTTGAGCATAATTACTTAACCTCATCTATAAGTTGATATATATACTTGGAGAGTTTCTCATTATTGTAACGTAATTGATCATTCTCCTTATTGAATTTATGCTATGATTTGAATATACCACTTGCATATTTTTATATTCACTAGTAATTTTAGAATTGGACTTAATACTATTACATAATGCCTCCTCGAGTTCTTGTTCGCGGGTACTACCAAGCCTATACTCCTGCCCTTGTATTTTTTTGGACTCCATGCTCTTGATATCTTGTAATGTATGCACCTTGGTCATGTTATTTTTCTCATATATTAAAAAAAAAATCAAGGCTAAATAATAAATATATTATATATACTTTTGGTTTATTAATATTACCAATACTAGTGATACTACCGATATTATTGATAATGATTTTTATATATTACTGATATTACCAATATTATTGATAATGATTTTTTTATATTATCGATATTACCAATATTACTGATAATATTTTTTATATTATCGATATTACAATATTACTGATAATATTTTTTATATTATTGATATTACTGATAATATTTTTTTTTATATTATCAACATTACTGACACTATAAATACGACAACAAAACCACGTGATCTGATGTAGTCAAACTATCACTAACAAACTATGATTATATTATGCGATATAAAGATATAAATCCAAATCTCTAGATATGCTTAGAGACAAATATCCTATGTCAAATACACATTTTTATCGGATATGGAAAGGAAAAGAGGTTTGTACAAACACTTGGAATTCATCTTTAGCCAATCCAGGGAATGATATTCCAAGATCTGTAGTTGTGGAAAAGAAAAAAAAGAGGAAATCAAAATCCAAGTCTACTCACATTTCTGATCAGCCTTTTATTAATAAAGATCTAGATGCGGTAACATCACTCTGTAAGACAGAAAAGATAGGTAGAATTTTGGAAGCAAAAAAAGCAACTACACCGTCTGTTACCTCACAAGAGACTGAAGATGTTTTGGAATTATATAAGAGAAACCAAAAAGATATAGAAAATATTAGAGTGAGTAGTCGTACTCTTGCCTCTAAATTATCTTTTCCTTAAATTTGTAAGTGTAAAATCAATGTTTTATTTTATAGCAGAGCTAATTTCTCTAACATATATCGATTACACAAATTGTTATAATATCCAATTACTTCAGAAACTGATTGAATACTGATGAATAATGCCTTTTCAAGTTTTTTTTCACGGTTTGACTTATTCTCACAATTTATACATTTTTTTAAAGTTGAATTATCAGAATTTGTGCTAAACCCCGCAGGAGCATGCCACTTTTCAAATAGTATATTGCCATTCTCACTACCGTCTATCTTCTGGGAAATTTGATCAGATACCAATGGCTTATTACAAAGCAATAGGACTCTGTTCCTATTATTTTGAGATATGGTGGTACAATTTACTTTGAGCTTATTTTTGACCTTATGCATGTTTATTGGAATAAAATACTCATTACTATTATATACGAGTTTTAATTCTCATTTCGATGCAAGCAAATCGTAATCATATTTATCTAGAAGAGTATTTGATAAAATTAGTATGGGTTTGGGATATTTGACTACCGCAAAATGGGAATATATAGTGCAACCTCGGGCAAAATTTATTGGTACATTGCGAACAATTCCAAGTGATTCAGTAGGAACAGTAGCAATATCTCTAAGATCATGTTTTTCCTTTATATCAATATCTAATTTTAATCATTCAACTATATTCTCAGACATGATTGGAAAATTTGCACTAGGATCTATCGTGGCTGCTGGAATTACCAATTGTTTAATTTTGCATTTTGTAGTTATGACATCTGTAGCTGGATCTTTTTTTTTTTGAATGAAATCTATCTCCATAGGATTGTCTAGCATTTTATCCTTTCCATCCAAATCAGATATTTTTGGAGTCAACTCTCAATAATTTATAAAGTCAGGTTTTGTAATAGATACATTCATATTATTAATATTGTTTTTAATCGTTTCTATAACCTCTAGATCACTAAACATATCTAGAATAATTTTTCGGATCTGTAAGTTGATAATCGTACCTGATTTCTTTTGTGATTTTTGTGAAGTACGTTGAATTAGAGATTAGAGACTCTGTCTCTTCTTTGGATTAGACTGCTTTTTAGATAAGGATTTATCCAATTTATCCTTTCACTTTACTTGTTTTTTTTTGTATTAGAAATAGTACATCATAACTATGATCGGATTCAACCTCAACGAGGAATCCCCAGAATCGGAGTTATTATTTGAAGAATCACTATCAGAAGAGTTTGTATCTGAACCTGAATCTACAGCAACCTTATTAACATTGTCTCTCTTTTTGGATCTGCTCTTGGATCTTTTCTTATAAGTACACTTGTGAGAATTATGTCCAGTTCTATTATAATTTGAGCAATGATATTGCGATAATTTCTTAATGGCATTAATCTCTTTTGCCATTTTTGCTAAATTTAATGATAATTTTGACATACCTTTGGTAATTTCATCTATATTATTGGTACTGGTATCTTTATTCTTTGATTGTACCAGTTTTGCTGAAAACAGATCAACCAATTTTTTATAAAGATCATTGGCTAGAGATTTCATAATTTGACTAGTTGAAGGAATTAGATTTATGATATCAGCATGAATAAATCTTTCAGAATTTATGCATACCTATCTGGAGGTCTTTCTGGCATATATTTATCTGGTACTCTAGGATAATCATTGGAATTAAACCGTTTTTGTTGAGATTGTACCAGTATTATAGATTTATTTTGTAATTGATGTGAACTGGTTTCTGGCTGAGAAATTGAGATAATATGTTAGCTAAAAAGCTAGATTCTGGTCTAACAGCTGAGACTTGATCAAAATTTTATTCTCCATACAGGTTTGGAGTACGTTCTAACCACATATTTTTTAATGCAATGAAAAATTCATTAATACCTACTGGAGCATTGGACCTTATCCAAGTGAAAAGCTCACCTGGTAATTGACTTTTAAGAAATCCCAAGACTTGAGTATCATTATTGGGTACACCTAACAAAAGAGGTCGAATTCTAGTTTTGTAGGTATCTAGAGTATCAAAAGGTTGAAATATTTCTTGAGTTAATCTTTGAATTGCAGATTGTTTGGTTCCAACTGTTTCTCTTTGATACTTTGTTCTTGCCCATGCCCTCAAAGTTGCTGGAGTATTAATAGGGGAATTACCAACAATATATGGATCATTAGCTGATACTAGGCATATTTTCAAGCCATCTTAGATTTTAAGATAGTAAACTTGATCATATTATCGAAATCTCCTGCATTTGCATTTTCAAGAACTGTTATATACCCCTCAGAAAATACCCATAATTGTATAACCTTATCAAAATAATCATCAGGAGGTTCTTGAACAATATAAGGTGAGAAACTTGCAAGAGTGGATTGTATTAATTTTAATACTGGTAAACATCTAGTTTCTGCCATATTTAGTGGATTATTCTGTAGTAATAAAATTTGGGCTTGTAAATTTAAAATTAATTGCTGTGAATTGCACTCTCTATTTTTTCACTTGATATAACTTGCCTTCCGATCTTTGAATTTATTGTAATATCTATCAAAGAGCCAATCTCGATTATATTCTAATAATCCTTTATCAACCTGGTATCTTGCAAATCTTGTTCTAATTGATAGTTTTTTAATCTATATAGAACTTCAAAAATATACTTGAGTTTAGATTGTTCTTCTAATACCAAGGTAATATTATATCATAAACATCCTTGCATATTATATCTTTGTTATAAATTCCTACTATTGGTATGACATCATTGTAATAATAATTAAATAGCTAACTTTTCTCCAATTAATTCATCAACACGTCTATTTTTATCATGATATGAGAATCACCAGTGATGACATTCTCCCTGTTCATTATTATAAGCTGTAGTTATCAAAATAAGATTATTCTGATAATTGTTACACTCTTGAATAAGTTGGTTAACTTGATTTTGAAAATTATTTCATCCTTGGATAATTTGATTAACTTGGTTTTGTAAGTTATCTTATTCTTGGGTAATCTGATTGACTTGGTTCTGAAAATTATTTTGGATAAGCTGATTACTTGATTTTGCAAAATGATATTCCGTTGTCTATAGAAATTGACATCCTGTTGTAACTGGACTATCTGATTATTTCTGTCATCTCGTTGAGTTATAATACCATTTATATCTTGGAATGCATTTTGGTAATTAAGACAAATATCATTCAAGGAACCTCTAATACTATTTATATATTAATAGGATTATTTAATGATGTTTCAGCTCCTCTAATATGATTCTCAATGCGATTTAAGCCTCAATCAATTTGTATAAAAAGGTCAAAATTCACCATATCTATATCTTCCTCTTTTGAATTATATAAACTTGAAAAGCTTCTTCGAGAAGAAATAACTTTGAATCTATGCCTTAGATTTTAATCTGCTCTTCTGATTTTTGTAATTGTTTCTCTATATTATTGATATAAGATATCTTGTCTCAGATTTCCTTTTTAGCTTGATATAAGCTTTTTTTAAGGAATGATATTTCCAATCTCAACTCTACTTTTTCTTTCTCCAAAGTATTCTTAAACTGTTCCAGTTTTTTATTGAGGGATTGAATTTCATTCACACACTGGATATATTTATATTCCAGATCCTTTATATATTTCTCATTCGATTTGTTAATGGCTACCTCTGATTGCAATATCTCTTGAAGTTCTTGGTTAATTTGTTCTAGCTCAAGTTCTTTATCTATAGCTGATCTATGAGTTGTTCAATTAGGGGGTCGGGTTTACGAAATACCATAATTATTATGAAGTAACAAGACTGTGTATTTATTTTTTACAGCATATTATAAACTTATTTCTTGGCTTTGCTAAAACATAGTTTATTGCTATAGTAAATATATCGAAAATGAGTAAATTGAACAAGCCTATTATTAGAATTGATCCAAATGAGAAGTTAAACTTAATCTGTAAATTGCTTTTTTACTGACCTATAGGCTATCATTCCAATGTAAAAGATTTAAGAGACTTATGTAAAAAAGAAAAATATAATTTCCCATATAAAAAAGTTTGTGAATGGTTGCATAGGCAGAATGAATGGCAAAAGTATGCTCCATCACCGAAAAATACTCCACAAGTAAATTATGGAAAAATCTCATGTCCTGGATGTGTACACCAGTCTGATATACTGTTTCTCACATATGATAAGTACAAGGGAAGACATGGAAAGCAGTATTATAGATTATAGACATCTCTAGCAGGTTCATCCTTTAACATTGAAGAATAGTTCAGAGGTTGTTAAAGCATTCAAGAAAATTTATAATAATTCCAATAATTCTCTTATATATCCGACACTTCTACAATGCGATGGTAGTAAAGAATTCATGGGTGAAACTGCTTGATTAATGGAAGCATATACTGTCAAAATTCGAGTGATTGATACATGTAGTTACAGAGGATTAGCTCTTGTGGAATGATTCAATAAGACGTTAGCAGAGATGCTTTATAAAATTTAGTATGCTGTTGAAAGTATAATCTCGAACCCTAAATCAATAAGAGCATGGGTAAAGTATTTGCCAGAAGTCATCAATTACCTAAATAATTATCCAACACTTCTCATTAGAGCTCCAGGTTTATCAAAATGGGGATTAGCTCCAGCAAAAGCTATTAAACTGGAATAGTAGAATCTAGGCCATCTACAAAGTATAAGCGTCCGGTTGGGAAATATGAGGAGAATATGTTGAAGAAAGGTGATACAATTTATTATTTGCTTGCTAATATGGAGTGGGAAGGAGGTATGGAAATGTCATGTCACACAACGGATCCGGTATGGAGTCCAACTTTATTTAAAATTTAAAAAATTGTCGTAACGAAGAATGAACCAATTTTATATTATTTAGAGGGATAATATGCCCCATCACGTAGATTTGTGAGGGAAGAGCTCATGCACGTGAATATTGATATGCTTCAGTATCTGCCCCAGGATATATTGGAAGAAAACACTTGTTCCAGGTCTGTTAATTTCATCTGTATTATTAACAAAATAGCTAAGGTACAAGCTTATGCTAAAAAGCACGGTGGGGAGTGTCTTGGTAAAACTAATCAAATAAATGATTACGATGTATATATCTGGATATGCGGACCCCATCAATGGTATGCACCTTATAAAATCCAGAAGCAAAAATTTGAATGGTGTCCAGTTTGTCCGCATTCTTCTACTAATGAACGCAGATGTCGATATATTTTTGAGGATTTGTTAGGTAAGAAATTCCCATCTTGTAAACCATCATTTTTGAATGGGATGCAATTAGACGAGTATAATGAAGAACTAAAATTGGCATGGGAATATAATGGAGTCCAGCATTTTTTTGAGAATCCAATGTTCCATAAGCAAGGCAAGATAGACTTAGATTCACAGAGGAAGCATGATCAAAAAAAGCAGAATATATGCAAGGAACAGATATAGATCTTATTGAAATTAGTTATGATACAAATTTGTTTCCTTATATAAAAAGTATATTACAAGAGAAGGGTTATCTACCAAATACAGATATAAATAGTATGACAAATCAGATAATTCGTTAGAATAAAAAAAAACATAATATATATATTTATAATGAAAAGATGTTATATTGTGTATTTGTCGTGGATGAGGTAAAACCTTCGAAAAAATATTAGGGAGATAAAGATACACCAGCGTGGCCTTTTCGTATTGTAATGGCAGGGACTAGCAATTCAGGTAAGACCAATATGAATTTAAACTTGCTAACAATGCCCAAATTTTATTACATGTTTAAGAAGAAAAAGTGTTCTAAGATAGGGGAACGTAACGTTAAATGCGATGATGTAGTTCTTTTCAGACATCATTTAAATGAGCCGAAATATAAAATAGTTGAAATTTTTATAAATATCTTACCCAAGATAAATCAAAGCCCTATTATGAAGATGTCACATTTTCTACACGATCACCTGATAAAATCCCAGATCCCAAAAAGTTTAATGCTAAAAGAAGTACATTAGCGATATTTGAAGATCTTTATTCTGATCCTCCAGCTATACAGAAAAAAATTATTCCATTTTTCACCAGGGGTCGTCATGAGAATATCTCCTCAATTTATGTTGCTCAGAAATTCCACAAAATTCCAATAGATATTCATGAAAATACCACTCACATTATTCTCTTTAATGGTGGAGGCTCTATTCGAAAACTTGCAGATATTATAAGCCCTTACACTGATGTAGATCCACGAAAGGCTTCAAAAATTATTGACGGCTATTTGAGGCAAAAAGAGTTTATAGTTATAGATCTGAATAAACCCAGATCTGAGTCTTTCTCACTTCGATGGGATACCCCTCTTGATCTAGAAAAGGAAATTGAGGGGTTAAAAGATAATAAACATTCTACCTAACCAGAGTGAGATTTCAGAGATGCAATGAATTTTTAATCTTTTGTACTAACTGTACTTATATAAAGAACTAAATATGAGTCATCCTCTTATTCTTCCGGAGTTACTTGAAAATTCTTGGATAAGGATAAAGCACTCTATCCAGCATTATTTGTTAATAGTCTTTGGTATCACTGCAGTGCCCCGATTCTATGGAGACACATTGAGTTTTCTATAGAAGGTTATCAGCAAAATCGGTATAATAAAGATATGTCTGGACCTCTTTATTGGCATTAAGAAAGTTTAAAAGAGTTATGGCGGAAAGATAAAACCTCCATATTGCTCAAAGATGGTATATCTCAAATTGGCGGGTTTAAAAATCTCAGATGAATTACTCAATGCAATTCTGCATTCATGTCCAGATATAAAATTTCTCATCCTTGATCGAAGTCATGGTTTTAGTAATATGCCAATTATAGAAATTGCAAAATATTGTCCGAAGTTACTACTGTACATCTGAGTCTTGATGCGTGTACAGCTATTACCGATAGATGTGTTAGTGAAATAGCTCAATCTTGTCCAAATTTAAAATACATAAGTCTCGCTTCTTTGTATAGAGATAGTAACATTTCCAGTGCATCTGTGATTGAAATAGCACGATCTTGTTCCAATCTAGTATATTTAAACCTTAATGGACTACCTTCTATTAATTATGAATCAATTAGTGCAATTGCACGCTTGTGTAAATCTTCAACACCTGGATCTATCATTCAATGAAATAATTACGGATGAAGCTATATGTGCGATTGCAACTGGCTGTTCAGATATGTGAAATTATTTTCTAGAAGGCCGTGAACGGATTACCAACAAATCAATCAAAAAAAATTGCAGATTTAAAAAAAACCTACAAACTATTAGTCTTATTTCCTGTTATAAAATTACGGATGATGCTGTATGTAATATAGTTCATTCATTTTCAGACATTCAAAATCTTAGTTTTCAATATATTTATATCACTGATAAAATAATATATGAAATTGCACACCACTGTTCTTATTTACTAGTTCTCAATGTAAAGAAATGTCCATTTATTTCTGATAAATAAATCTACTTTCTATTAAGCAAAAAACTGGCACTAGAGCTAATATTAGATTGGGTTCCATGATTAATATAGGTTTGGATAAAATCGCGTTATATAGTTAGTTTGATAATCGAATACTTTTTAGTTGTAATTTTATTCTATTAATATAAATACATTCTACTCGCCACTTCTTATATAATTGAGAAGATGCATGTATCCAGCCTACCAAGTGTTGAAATTGAGGTGGATGTTTTTAACATCTTATTCGCTACTATTCTCTAATGAAATAGCTATCAGTATCCAGCCTGATTGAGGTTGAAGTAGATGTTGAAAAATAAAAAATTCTATTTGTACTGAGGGGATTTTTTGTGTTTGATAAAATAGCTGTATATAAAAACTAAAGTAAAAAATGTTACCGATACTCAGGATAACGAAATAAAGTCTAAAGTCTATGCTCCTATTTCTAAAAGTCGCTTTCGGAATCTAACCCGCAATTGACTCTTTTTAGAATCTATCCAATTAACTGGAATATAATATTCTTCATATTGTCTATTAATGATGGAACTGCGCATCATAGGATCGTTTTTATATAATTCAATCCATTTAATACGTCATTGATTAAATTGTTCCCTAGTCTGAGAATTTTTTACTTTATGTCTCGTTAAACCTAGAAATTTCTCATCATTAGAAGTACCATCATTTCTTAACGAATTCCAAGCTCGAGTGGCTAATGATTCAGGTCTATTCATGTAATTTCTCCAAGCTCTTTGTATAATCCTTGCTTTCCCAGTATTAAGTTGAGAAATGATCGTTGTCCTTCATTCAGACTGGATCGTACACATTGCATCATACTAGCATCTGTAAAATCGATTATATCGTTCAAGAAATTAGAATTCATAATTGTCTTCCCCATTTCAAGATCTTTGGATCGGTATTGAAAGAGTATGCCAAGCAAAGTGATTCGAATCGACGCATTATCAAAACTTAAATTTCTCAATTCCTAGAAGATTGAACAACAGTGAGTACACAATTATTACATGCGAAATGAAACAAAACTAAATTACCTCATGATCATTAGCACAGCAATTGTCCACTTTCATGAAGATCTGGAAGGTTGAATAGCAATGAATACATTAGTTGTACACGAAATGCAAAGTCAAGATAAACCACCTCGTGATCAATTAAATTGTAATCGTCATCTAATTCCGATAGTTGTTCCTTGTTAAATTCTTTCTGGAGTTTGATTTGATTTTCTTGTCGCGCCAATTTTTCCCATATATCATTGTTTTGGGTATATAAAGCAGTATTGGCCATGTGATTCTATTAAATGCATTGAAAATTCACAAGTCATTTAAAAACCCTTCTTCACACTGAACTTTAACATAGTTATAGTTATATTAACCTCAGAAAGTAGGAAAGACGGATTGATTTGATCTTCCGGTGTGACTTGACGGTCTGTTCTTGTCCGCTTTATTTGACCTTGTTCAAAATTGGTCTAAAGTATTGAAACACAAAATATTCAATAACTGTACTCTTAATTAGACTCACCTCTTCTTCGACTTGTGAGGCACTCCGTTTTTCTAACTTTTCCGTAATTATTTTTCGTAGCAAATGACCTTGCTTTCGTGTATCTATCGTCGCGTCTAGAACATGACGGGTCTAAGACAAATATTTCAGTATATAAATCAGAGATAATGAAGGTTTCAAGAATTAACATACTAACTTCTTCGATATTAATTTCGTCTTCCAGTTCTCTCTTTTTCCAGTATTGTTTTACCGCCTCCGACTTGCTTTGTTCCTGGTTAAGGAAAGTTGTCAGACACCAAATAAATACGCCAAAGAAGTACGCGCTAAGGGATACACACGGCACGGAGGCCATAATTCCAAAACACAGAGGTTTGGCGGAAGTAGTATGAAATCCACACCAGCACAGAGGCATATCTCCCATGGACACGGAGGTCGAACAAAATGTTCCCTCGCGACATAAGTCTGACGCAGAGGTCAAAACAAATGCCCCTACGACATAAAGGTCGAAGGAGAAGGATGGGATAGGACATAGCGCGTATCAAAGCAACTAACAAGAAATTAATAATAGATTTAAGTGTTCCCTTGTATAAACTGTAGGCTTTAATTTTATTCGTTGGGAGTTTGTATCCTAAGAAGTCAATTAGCGAGCAGGACTTCAAATCGTCGAAGTAGACGTCAAGCTTGGGCATGGCGATGAAAAAAAAAACGGGTATAAAAAAGCACATGTTATACAAAAAAATTAGATCACGTGTCAGAATATATTACACTGCAACTAGTGGGTTGCATAAAATGATCGATCAGTATGAAAATTTTTTTTTTTAATATTTCAATTACCATCGGATGATTTAATTAAAGAGTAGGGAATTCATTGTAATTTAGAAGAAAGTTTAGAAGATTTAAATTTAGACAATTATTGGAAAGCAAAAGAAAAAATATTTTCAAATCTTTGTCATATAGCTTTTATATACAGTATATTTGGATTCCTATTTCAGGTGTTGATGTTGAGTGAAGCTTTTCTATGTATAAGACAATAGCATAATTTCTCATAATAGTATAAAATAATATCGCATAATTTATCTTATCGCATCGCATAATCCCGGACACTCTACTGATGATCAACTACGTTTATTGATAGATGAAAAAATATTGAGTATTATGATATTCCTGGCAGTTATCCGCAATGAATTTAGTTTGACTGTAATTTTGTATAATTGCAATGCATCTAGAAAAAAGAGGTGTTATGTTCGTCATGTCTTTTTGCTCGAAAGTTCTGGCGTATACTTTCATCATTGAATTAATGATTTGCGCGGATAAACTGATGTCCCCTTGTTGATCTTTATACATGCCAAATTTTCTATAGGAGTGCGCGTTTCGTGATGCAATCATATTCCCCAAAAGCGTATTGGTGGAGATAAAGTTCAAAGGATGACATATATCCAACGAATAAAAACGTTTACTGCACCATCTATTTCAAATTTAAGTTTAGAAAATATCAAATATGTAACATTACAGGTTAGGAAAAAGCCTAGGCAAACTTAGCCCTGCTCCGCAGAATTCTGGGTAAAATGTTGTGTCACGTGATAGCTATGTAACTCGACCGTGACTGAGTAGACATGGTCTCGAAGTTTGGCAGTTTTTTGGCCGTGCCAGCTCCGCTGATAATTAAATAATTAATAAAGTCT